GGGGATGATGGAAACCTACTTTTTAGGTTTAACCATAATTATCAATATTAAAATTATTAGGATTTATCTAGATATGGTTATTAGTCTTTGAGCAAGATTAGGATAGTCTATTAGGTTTTTCTAGTCTTTCGCTATAAATATGTAATTGGTCTTTCATTCATGGGCAGTCAAGAAGAACAATAAGAAACTCTTCCTAACCCTATTCTCCTAATCCTCTCAATTCTCGTTCCCAATCCCTCTAAAGGCCTAGGCCGATTCTCTATCTTTCTCTTCTCAAATCCCTAATTCTGTTCTTAATCTCTAAATCCCCAATTCTCTATAGAACCCTGATCCCAGGTTCTATCAGTGTCACCTTAAGAACATACCACTTTTAATGTGTACTCATTTTCCAAGTGAGGTCCGTATAGCGGAGAAACGAAATCTGGGAAGTTTGTTGTTGGGTACGAACCTGAACCAACGATTCCACAGTCCACAGAGCTTGTAGCACGACTTTGTTTCTACCGATAAGTAATGAGCTGAGCTGGGAGTGAACAACGCTGTTCTACTTGGTGTCCATTTTTGTTTCAATAATAATTGTACAAGGCACGTGTCTATTTTTTATTGGTAGTTAGTGTTTAGTTAGTTTATTTCCGCTGTAGGCAAACTTAGGTACGTAGCTTGTACATATGGCGATTTCATTCGCAGTATATATACAACCCTAGTGGCTCATGAGTCAAGAGTCCCTTTGTGTAGGGCTGAAAATTTGTCTGTCCCGTCCCTGTCTCTGTCTGACCCGTCCCTGAAGGGTCAAGATGTATAACCGTCCCGTCCCGTCACGTCTCTGTTTCCTTCTTGACCCTGTCTGACCCTCAAGGGTTGGGACGGGACGGGACGGGCCGGGTCAGTGGGTCGACCCTAATCAACACACTACTTTTTTACAAATTACGTTTTGATACCCAAAATTATTTTTTCTTACAATTTAGTACCTAAATTTTATTTTTTTACAAATAAGTCCATAAATTTTGATGGTAAAATTACGTTTTGGTACCCAAATTTTTTTATTTTTACAAATTAGTACCTAAACTTTTAAAACTTTACAAAAAGGTCCAATGAAGTATGAGATATTTGTTATTGCTAAGGGTCACAGGGTCAAAAAGTGACCCGTCCCTAAGTTGTCCCGACCCGTCCCGACCCTTAGGGACGGGACGAGTCGGGACGGGTCAGTGGGTCTTCAGGGACAAGCTTTCACCCCTACCTTTGTGGGTTCCCTCTAAATCGGATCCCCTGTACAAGTTTCTAACGGTATTATAGTATGAATCAGGCGATTAAGGTTCTTGTACTTGCATTGTTTCTTCCTCATTTTCCTTTTCACTTAGCTATGGCAACACAGATGCTAATAGTTCTTCTAGCTCTACTTCTACAAATTTTGGATTATCTTTCTACCATTGCACCTAACGTTACTAGTCCCTACACCTAGTGTTACTAGTCTCTAATATATCAACCCTAGTGCGTCAGTCGTTTTCCCTATCAAACTCACTGGAGCATCCAACTACAATCTCTGGAGTAGGACTATTTGTGTTGCCTTGAAGAGCAAGTATCACTTTATTTTTACATATACGAAAATTACCAAATTTTAAAGTGTCCCGAGACACCCCTAGACCCCATGGATCTCCCACGGGGAACAACACTATACATATGTTTTGTTTATCTTTTGTTTATGATTTTAAGGTATCTTGACTCATGTCCGGTTGATGCTGGTTCGGCGTTTCCACTATTGAAAATGCTAAGGAGCCTTGGGGCTATTTAAGGTAGGGATGAGAGTTGAACTCGAATTCGCGGGTATCCTACCCGACCCAACCCGTTTTGATGGATTGCAGGTCGGGTTCGGATTTAAACCCGCCATACTTATTGCAGGTTTGGTTGGGTTTGGGTTTAGTCATATCCAACCCGTGCATACCCACACCCAACTTCATGCCTCCCACGACCCACGGAACCCTTAACTAATTAACTATAATTTTTAAACTATTTCCTCACACGTTCAATTAATCATATTGTTTGTGGATGTTTATCGTTAATATTGAACAATTAGTATGAATGACTTGTGAGTTAGTGAGTATGTAGCGGACAATAGTAGTGAACACTAGTGTAATTGCATCTTTGAACATGAACCCATGGGTACCCATGAACCCGCGGATATCCAGCGGGTTTGGTTGGATTTGAGTATTTCAAATCCAGTGGGTTTTACCCCAATTTTTTTTGTGGATAAACCCATAGGTTTGGATTTGGGTTTGGCATAACCCGCCCCAACCCGACTCATTTTCATCCCTAATTTGAGACAACGATTTGGTCAAACTGACAACATGAGGATTCGTGATTCGCAGACTGCTTTATACTCTTTAAAGCAAGGTAACAGATCTATGAATCAATTTTACTATGAACTGAAAGGTTACTGTGAAGAGTTAAGTCAATTTTTATCCATGTCAAGTTTTGTCTATGGAGGTGTGGTGAATAGAGGAGCACCTTGTATCACTAAAACTACTATGAGAAAAGAAGGGGAGAATGAATTTGTGACTAGGTTCATTAAGGGCTTGAATGATGCTTATGAGGGATTGAGAGCCAATTTGTTCATGATGAATCATTTAGCATCTAAGGAGATTGCTTTTCCCTATTCTGTTCAACATGAGAGAACTAGCTAAACCTAATCCAGAATCTCAAATGGGTTCAATAACACTGCTTGCTACAAATCAAGCCAAAGGGAAAGAAGAAGTTAAATGCAACTTTTTCTATCAATACATAAAAAGATAATCATGTAATGACTGATTGTTATAAGTTGAAAAGGAAGAAATCTTTTAATGAGTTAGGAGGGTCATCTAGGTTTGCAGGACATCACAAGGAGTTGCTGGAGGCACAATGGTATCCTCCCTAAACCATAAACCAAGAGCTTATATGAAGCAGGAGATGGATATGCGAACGTCAGGCTGTCAACTAATGACATTTTATTAAAATTTAGAATCTATATTATCACGAATCATAATTATCAAACATACTTTTCATAATCATATTTATACAATTTCATGAATTAAAATCTCTAAATTCATTATAATCTCTAGATTTAGCCTCTCATTATCCAAGTGGCCTCATATATCATGCAACGATTATCAATTTTGGCAAAATAAAGGTGATCACAACTATCGATAATTAGTAAAGATCTAGGCTTTAATTCGTACTTAGCCAATTATTATACAAAAGTAATATAAGTGTAAAAAGTAATTAAAGGAAAGGAGAAGCTAGGGAGATATAGGGGTGACAATCAGTCGGTAATCAGTAAACCAGTTACCGACCGACCCGGTAAACGGTATGTCGAGCATGGAGGGGGAGAGATCGAATACCGTTACCGGTTTGTAACCGGTTTACCGATTACTTAATACCCGGTAAACGGTTACATACCGGTTTTACCGATTTACCTTCGATGTGGGGTCAAGTAGCAAGGGAAGGTAGCCGGATTTGCTGGGTGTTGCAGAAGGAAGGCGGCGAGATCTGTTGGTGATGGCACGGTGGTGATGACGGAGTGAAGGAATAGGCTGAAGAGGCATAGGGAGGAGGTGGCAAGGACGGCGCTGGCTGCGGAGGGACGACGAGTCGCAACGTCAACGTCGCAGAGCAAATCGACGGCTGACAGATAGGGGAGTCGCGCGACGGACAAGGAAGGAGGAAACTGATGTCGAGCCATGGAGGGAAGGACGAGCCGCCATCGCCGTCTCTAACGGTCTCATTTCGTTTTTAGGGTTTGGCCGTTTGGGGTTGCTGGCCGCTGGGAAAAACGCGGTGTACCGGCCCCCGGTATCGATATTACCGACTTACCGTTGGTATTTATCGTAATTGGTGCAGTTATACCAAACTCCCCCTTCCTCAATCGACTACCGATACCGCCGGTAATCGGTTTACCAATTACCGCCGATTACCGGCTAAATGTTTGTCACCCTTGGGAAGATAAGTATAGAAACTAACGGTCAACTCTCAGATTTGACCAAATTAGTAAAGTGTAGAGTTAGTTCGGGACATGATATTAAATACCAAAAGGATTGGTCAAAATGTTAAATATGAAAAAAGTTCGGCGAGACAAATTTATTAACTAAAAAATAAATGTGTATGTTTGATAAAAATGCATAATAAAAGGACACATTGTACTTATAACCTTAATGAAAAATATATGAATTTCTGTTATCGAATATGAATTTTATTTTCTTAGATCAACTTTCTTGGTTGCACTTGGGTCCACACAACTGTCATATCATTGTAATCTGTATTGCCTGCAAACTTGATGATGTTATTAGAACGACATACCAAAATTAAATACATCAAGTTTAACTATTGACTGCTATAAATCAGCCACTAATACCCTATTGCTCGGCCTATAAAACAATAAACAAGGAACTGCTTAACAGTCACAATCCTTAAAGTTAGCAACAGCTAGAAACAAGCAACTAACACACGTCTATCTTTCTGCTAATCTAATGGACTCGTTATTTGACTCACTAAACAAATGCCCAACCCAAAATCCAACTCTAGACTAACATCTTAACCCAAAATATCCTCCCCTAAACTCAATATCTGTCAGTTTTTTAGTTTAGATCAGCACTCGATCAAACTGCAGCACCAAGTCTCCCAAGCTTCTCAGAAGCTTCACACATTCCAAGTTCTCTTCTTAGCTAGCTTCTCAAATACTTCTATCTTCACGGCCTTCGTCATAATGTCAGCAACCTGATTATTTGTGCCACAATGCTCCAATGTGATGACTTCATCTTTCACTAAGTCTCTAAGAAAATGGAAACGAACATCGATGTGTTTGCTTCGACCATGTAATACTGGACTTTTGGAAAGCTTGATGGTGGAACTATTGTCACCAAGAATTCGTATTCCACCATTCCCATCTTCCAGCCATCCTACCTCCTTCAATATCCTCTTCCTCCAAATGCTTTGAGCTGCACAATAAGCTGCAGCTACAAATTCTGCTTTCGTGGTTAACAAGGTAACCACATGCTGCTTCCTGGATGCCGAAGAGACAGCCCCTCCAGCCAGAAAAAAACATAGCCACTTGTACTTCGTCTGTCATTGATGTCCCCTGCATAATCACTGTCGGTAAACCCAACCAAACCTTCATCTTGATCATGTGGAGTGTACCTTATTCCATATTCCAGAGTTCCTTTGAGGTACCTTAGTACCCTCTTTGCTACTGCCATGTGAAGTCTAGTGGGTTTTGCCATGAATCTGCTAAGCAAGCACACCACATTAGGGATGCAAACGAGCGGAGTCGAGTCGAGTTTTTGCTTAACTTGAGCTCGACTCGTTTATAAATTTTTGCAACTCGAGTTCGGCTCGATCTTGAATTTTGATAATCCAGCTCGAGCTCGAGTTTGACTTGATAGATCTCGGTAAATTCTCATTAATACAACTTGTCAAGTTGAGTACTAGCTCGACTCAAGATGAGCGTGATTTAAAATTATTCTTGCTGAAAAATGTGTACACATAAGAATTTAAATGATAAAAAGAACACTAGAAACTAGAAATAACAGTTAACTTCCATACACATCCGTATTAACAAGATAATGTTCATGTTTAGAAGAGTAATGAATCCTTCCACAAGCTCTAAACAAGCCAACTAGCCACCGAGTCAAACTAGCTCACGAGCTTATCAAGATGAGCATGGTCTAGTTCAAGTTTGGCTTGTTTACTAACGAGTCGAGTGTCGAACGAGTTTTTTTTCTATTCGAACGCCGATTTGCTCACAAGCAGCTTGGCTCATTTGCAGCCATACACCATATACATCACATCAGTCCTTGTCGCGGTTAAGTATAAAAGACTTCCCACCAGTTGCTTGTATTGAGTAGAATCTGCTGGAATTCCATCACCTTCCAGAGTTAGTTTTATTCTTGGAGCTATAGGCATTTTCACAGGATTGCTCTCTAGAAGCTGGAACTTCTCGAGAAGTTCCATAGTGTACTTCCTCTGTCCAATGAATATCCCTTGATCCTCACTTCGAGACACTTCTACTCCCATGAAGTATTTCATTCTCTCCAAATCAGTCATCTCGAACTTGCTTTTCGTCGACTACTTGAAATCTTCAAGCAGCTCTTCCTTGCTACTAACACACATCAAGTCATCCACATATAAACTGACTATCAATATATCAGTTCCATACCTTTTTATGAAAAGAGTGTGCTCATAAGGACACCTTTGAAGCCTGTCTCCAAGTGTAGACACCACATTTCTCCAAGGCACACACTATACTTAAAACTCGAAAGGAGAAAATCGATATTGATAAATTAAATAGAATGCTTGGGAGGAATTGATTTGAGTTTTCAATTGCAAGTCAATAAGTCCTAATGATCTCCAAGTTCACTTTTATTTAGTTCTAATATCAATTCGGTTGAGACTAGCAGTGGCAAGTCAATAAGTGATAGTGATATATCAAATTTTCTTTATAATAGCATATGAGTTGAGACTAGCAGTGGCAAGTTAATAATTACTCAATAAATACCAACCTAGTCGATTCTAGGATTGGTTAAGATATAATCGATTTAGTTAAGGTTAGCAGTGACAAATCTTAAACAACAATAAAAAATAATGGTAGCAAAGTTCATCATTAGGATGTTTGGCATAAAAGGGTTAGTGGAGTTTGGGTAAGCATGATAGACTCAAAGTAAAACGATTTGAACAAAGGGAAAAAAAAAGCTTTATTATCAAATATATCACATTTGTACATCACGTGAGTAATGATCCTAAATAATGAAAGAATTAAAACTAATTACAACCAATTAGATTATGCTCGTTTAATTGAGGCCATTTGGGCCACTTTTGCTCCTGCCTCTGCGCCTAGCCCAAACCAATAACCTGCAATAGAAGAAGAAAAAATTAGAACAAACCCAAACCAACAGTCCATGACCCAAACCCAATTGCAAACTCAATCAGGCCCAGAGCTATTGCCCATAATATATCTTAGAAGGCAAGCAGAAAATGGCTGATGCCTCCTAAAAAGAGTAGGACTACTGCCTTTTCAAGGGCCTACTAAACAATTGACAACACACCAAAATGAACAATAAAAAACCATATATAAAAGTGGAGGTCTGCAAAAAATCAGAAAAAAGAGGGAGAGCAGTGGATCTAAAAATTAGCAAGAGTACAAGAAACAGATAGTAACAATAACACCAAATAGCAGAAGCAAAAGGGAAAAGAGAGCAAAAGCAGAGCAAGGAGATAATCACATCAACCACAAAGAAACCATTTCCAAGTTGTCCAGGTTCATATGTGTATAAAAGCAATCATTCATCTACCTAACAATCATTGTTGGAAATAGAAATGAGTGATTCTTCATGATAATCTGTATGTATATGGTAGATCTATATGCATAAGATAGATAAATATGCATATATTGAGATCTGCTCTTGCTACCACTTACTATTTTTTTAGACTAAGGGGTCGTTTGCTTCAAGGATTTGGTACATGGATTTGGTACCAAAAAACCAACTATCAAGGATTTAGGTACAATCCGTTGTTTGCTTGCACCTTTTTTGGAGACCAAATCCGTGGGGCCCACGGATTTTAAGGGTCCAAATCCGTGGACCCCACGGACTTATAAATCCCACATGTTGATGTGGGATTTGGAATATGGCATGAATCTTTGATGAGATTTTACCCATATACCCTCATGCACTTTTAATATTCCAAGGTTACCCTCAAATTTAACTATTATACATTATAATTAACAATAAATGAATAATATAAACGTTCAATTAATGTGCAAAGATGAGTTAGATTTTTTATATCATTTCTTGTGTTCTAGTTTTCTTTGACCTTTTCACGGAACGTGTAGTTCTTTGTTCTCCCGATTCTAATATATGTTGTTATATGTCACTTTTGAAAAGGAGGACAAAGAATTGGTAATTGATTATGTTACGTTAAAAGTTAAAACGGAATTTTCTCGTTTATTATTATTGTCCATGTGGCAACATATAGAAAATGATAGTAAGGGTAATTTTGAAGTTTTGTCATTGTTTTGTGTACATATCATAAACATGTCAAACGTATAGAAAAGGGCAGTAATGTAATTTTTGACTTCAAGTAGTAAATCCCACACCTTTAAATCCATGATAAAAACATCCCAACAAACAAAGGATTGTTACAAATCCATGATGCCTCAAATCCTTCATAAATCCTTGGATTTTTAAATTACAAAACTCTCATTTTTAAATCCATGAAGCAAACGACCCCTAAATCATATATCGAACTAGCCATACTAGGTTGCTTTTGATAGAAGATCTAACATAAAGAGACCGATTTACTTTTAAACTACCTATAAAAGCAATAAGTAGAACATATCTATGTTCTCTTTGCTAGATTTCGTTTTATAGCGGTTATTGCTTCCTATGTCAGTATTTTACAATCTAAGCTGGTTCGATCAATATCCATGTAAAAGAATAATAGACAAAGATAGCAACTTTGTAGAATCCCTAATCAATATGCAAGCACATTAATAAATAGGAAAACTTAACCCCAGTTAATCGCAATCTAGGAAGAGCTGAAGTTTATGTTTTAGTCCTGAGCAGTGGCTTTGACTTTAGTATTGTAAGGCCCTTTTAATCGATAGGACTTAATAAGCAACAAGTAACCCAAAATAGAGATGTAAACTGAATACAACTACCCCACCCCAAACACAAGAGCAAAACCATTTTCTTTCATTCCGAAATCACAAGCAATGGCTGTGATTTTCGGCTATCTTAAAATCATGTTATAGTTTTAAAAAAGAAAAAAAACTCAGCAAGAACAAATGATTTACAAAGTGTCACCATAAGATCATCTACAATGCTAGGGCAAAGTGCCAATTTTTGGCACTTTTGAGCTTCAATGGCAAAAGCTAAAGAGTCAAAGTGTTAAATTCTTAGGTTTTGGGAGCCAAATTTGGCTCACAAAAAACAAAAAGTGCTAGAATTGAAATAAAAATCGCAGGGAGATGGGAAGAGGAAAACGCGCGGGGAGGGGAAGGGGGAAGGGGTCGCCTGCTTCCCACACAGGCGTCCCTTCCTTCCTTCCTTTTTTTTTATGATGGCAAACTACAAATCATCCCCTGAAAAACTTCTCCACCAGTCACCAATTTCGCCCCAACGGCTATTTTCTCCTCCAACAGCTATTTTTTGTCCCAGCAGCTATATTTTTCAAATTTTTTCTATAAAGATCACCACATACTTCACTTCTAATTACACCACAACTACATTTTCCTCTCCCTCTCATCAAATATCAATCTCTCGCTACATTTCTCTTTCTCTCTACATTTCTCTTCCTCTCCAACTTCTCGTCAGGACTACTCGTCAACGCAAAAAAATTTGCATTTTGTTTGTACAAACTACTATAAATATGTGAGCCAATACAATTATGTTGCAATTTGTTAGAAAAAAATTACTATAAATATCTGAACTAATACACTCTTATCGCAATGTACTAGAAAATAACTATTTTTACTAGATCATGAAGAAATAATGGCATGAAGCAAAAATGATGATTTGCTAAGTCAAAACCGTAGTCATAATAACTTATTCATGTGATATGTTCTTGTAAGTTAAGATTAATAAAATATATAAACATAATTCAGTTATATGCTACAGTTATATGCTACAGTGATACACAACAATTTCAAAATTGAATTATGATTATATATCTTAAATATGTTTGTGCCCAATTGGTAAAAGAAGTTAAAAAAAATCTAGTACATATACATATATGCATTTGTCGTCTTTAGAGATTGAATTTCACATTTCAAGCACATTAAAAATGATATCATTATCTTTTTTTATGTTATTTCAATTTCTTTCTATTTTCATTTTTTGTATGTCATTAAATTGTCTTCCATGCACAATTATAAAACACATTGTTTTTACTTTTTTCTGATGTAATTATAATTCATTTCTTTTCTCTTTTTATTGGTTGACGTAAGTTCCTTTCTTTTTCCTACAAGAGTTTAGATGTGCAACTTTTAGACATATTCAGATGCATAGCACTTAAATTAAGCAATATTTCTAAATGAATCTTAAGCTATTGTATATATATAATGGCTGAGATGTAAATAACTATTTTAGTCCTTAGTTAATGTGTCACCCTAATACATATATTACTATCGGTGGCTTCTATCGTACCTTGGGTATAATCTAGGGTACAATATACCCTGAGTAAGAAAACGCTATTAGACCTCGAGTTAATCGGAACACTTGATGAG